ATAATTATCTGCTGTCACCTGTACATTTCTTAATAGGTGTTCAGCATCTCCGGTTAAATATCCCTTCAAGTAATATAATTTCTGTGCATCATTCAATTTATTATTATTATGAATTAATCCCAAAAACAAGTCCCTAAAGGTAAGCCACTCCTGATATTTTCCAGAAAACATTGGTATTTTAATCTCCGGCAAACGAAAATTATTTTCTTCTTTACAACTACTACTAAGGCCCGGTCCACTATCATTTTCATTACTAGGTACACATTTATTTAATCTAATAAGCTCCTTCAGAGCACTTTTAAATTGTACATATAATTCCTCTACCTCGTCATAAACACAATCTTTATGATATTTGGACCTATATAAATCTGACTTTTTAACTTCACTTATTATTTTAACATGTGTATTATGAAAAAGTTGCCATTGTTGTTCTAAATTTTCTAAACGTGTTTCAATATACGATAGAGTGAGTCGATCTTTCGGGCATTTTTTAAAATTAATAATAGCCTTATCAATTTTGCTCTTAACATCATCTTGGATATCCATTAACGAATCCATTATTACAAACAATAGAATCTAATACTACAGCACAAATAATAAGTGGAAGAATATAATATTATCCTAACCTTAAAGTCCATTAAATTGTATCTTCTCGCACTTTTTCCGAACACAAAACTCAATTTGCATTGAAATTTTTACAAGTCTTTTTAATTTCTATAAGAATTTGGACATAGACTCCCCGTCCAAACAACTTTTTTCTTAAAATTATCATAAGTCCAAATTTACTTGCCCTGCCTTTATTAGATTCTTCCAGAATAACATTGAAAGTAGGTACTCACGATTTTTTCACCAAACACTCACTGACACTTAGACGTCAACATGCCATACCAGTGGCGCCCTCTGTGACCGCGGACGACACCTTCCTGCTCTGCTCCCTTGCTTCGTCCCTCCGGCTGCTGCTGCCTCCAGTATTGCTGCACCACGCTCCACTGGATGCTCCCTGCGCCAACCGGTCTTCCACCTCCAGCTCCTGGCACCTCTCACCTGGTACCCACTGAAGGGCTGCTCTGGACAGCGATCCACTGCCCAATATCGAAGCGTAGGGTGGTAGAATCTACCACCTCCGGAACCCGTCACAACACTCCCGACCAATCCGGCTCGAAGGACCATGAACGAAGGTCGACTCGGGAGAGGGTGGATAATTAATACACTGACTTACTTATTAAGCGCGTATAATAAAGTAATGTACAATGCTTGCTGCTCACCAAAACAATTAAATCATTCGACACCTATATTATCGCCGGTAACGAAACCATAGCGCGATCTATCTCGATCCCAACGCCATCTATCGAGCTAACGTACAACTTTGTATTCCATATTAAATCGCACTATGATTCCGTTGACCTTTTATTACATAAACACCTATATGTGCATATATATGTATCTATGTAGGTATTCGCTTGTACATTACGGTAATTCAGTTAATAGAAAGACGTTTTTTTCGATATTAAACCGAATCTTACCTATTTCGCATTATGTGCTTCATATTTCTCGTACATAAGAACCATTGAAGCAGACGATTGGGATCTAAGGATCCTAATAATATATTTTTAATCTCTTTGATCTCGATTCCGCTACGGCTTCTTTAATATGTATGGATATCACATTTTGTTCGTACCGTCTCTATCTGCATTTAAACCCGTCTTGTTCTATTATGACCGCATTCTTTTATTAATACATAGCTATTCCTTTTTTAAAGCGTAGGGTGAGAGAAAGTGTAAGTGTTAGCCAAGCTTCGTTACAAATGGATCGGTTCGACAGGAGTGATACCACGGCCTCACAGAAAACCGGCGTGAAACAACCACAGCCTTGTGTTTCGCCGTGTGCGTGAGCATACCGGAGGCCCAATCTCTTCCTCTCGCTCCAACCTTTAAATATCCAAAACCCTTATCTCTAAAAGGCTGCTAACGCACTCGTTACTTCTTTGGTGTTGCGGGTGTCCATGGGCGGCGCTGATTGCTCACCAACAGGAAATCCGTCTGCTCGTTTGCTTACCTATACCATAAAAAACTGTGCCTTTACTGATTTGAATTTTGCAGTTAAGTCAGGTGGATTGAATTTAAAATAACAGTAGTATCATGGTCTAAAACAGTCTCTTTTTTGTCTCTACATCCCTATGCATTCTAAAATCTTTAAAATTATCCAACGGATTTTGATGCGATATTTTTTAATAGATAAAAGGATTGAAGATATAATAAATAAATAAGATTAAAGATAAATCCCAGTAACATTATAAATATGAAAGTTTGTGAGAAAGTATGATTGTTGGTTGTAATTCTTTCACGCATAAACTGTAGGACCTATTTGATATGTAGGTTGGTGATGTCCTGCTGGCTGGTTTTCGTTCATACTACACGGGCGAAGTCGCAGACGAAAGCTAATAAGCCATATGTATTATAATATCCATTAAATAGTGGAGGTTAAGGTCAGCATTGCACCCGAAGCCAGGGCGGATCGCTTGTATTACTATTACTAATTACCTATATTATATTTGGATGTCTTTGTTGCTCAATAACGCCAAAACGGATAGACGGATCTGGATGAAAATTGGCACAGACGTAGGTTATACTCCGGAATAAGACATAGGCTACTTTTTACCAACATACCACGCGGGCGAAGCCGCAGGCGGAAGCTAGTATGTTATAAATGCAGGTCGACTACAATTATTATGAAGAAAAACAGTTCTAAGTAACTATATTTTATATTTGTATGTCAATAGAAGTTTTCTTTTTCAACGGAACTAAACAACTAATGAAAAGTCTGCTGTTAATTCCCGGAGGAGTTTGCCTTATTATCAGTATTTTCTTGGTATCATTATTAGCTTTTGTTAAGTGTGACTAATAATACGTTTCATTGAAATAATTATTATTGCTAATGTTAAAATACTCACAAAGTAAAGGCTACAAAATAAAGTGTAATCTCATGAGTGAAGGTCGGGTAAATCGGAAATCCGGTAGTTTTAAGCTTTCATTGTAAAATTATTATGATTAATTTTGTTAAAAGGCCGTTTAATTCATAGAATTGAAAATTAACTGTAAAGTATACACACATTTTACTCATGGATATTGGTTGATAAAGATGTTTTCTTTGAAGATGACACAATGCCCATTAACGACGTATTCTGATATCTAGAAGCTCAGGAGTAGTTTTCTAAAAAGTGAATATCTATAATTTTTATTACTTAGTAAAGGAGATTTTTTTTATGTGATAAGTCGGCAAACAGGCTGACGGATTACCTGATGTTAAGCAATCAGTGTCGCCCGCGTTGCCGACCTTTTGAGGATTTGGAGTTTTTGGGATCGGGAAGGGAAAGGATTGGTCCTCCGTAACCTCACTCAGACGACAAAACGCAACGCTGTGGTTGTTTCACGCCGGTTATCTGTGAGGCCAAGATTAAAGGAGTAATGGTATATCTGTGCTTTTTTCTATTAATATCCATTAATTCCGATAACCGTTTCAACTAATATCCGGAATATCGTGTAAGTAGTACATGTTTAAGTACTACGTAGTTATTTCCGTTGGATAGTCTTAGTTCCACCCCACACATGTTATATCCGTGTTACATTAGTTATTTAACTGTTTAATTGTATAATTTGTTCTACTTCCCACTCTTGTTGGAAATCTGTTTCATCATTTGTGCGTAACTTGTCTATCCGTGACTGTTTAGAACCGAATTAAAATCTTATATTATATAAAAATGGATCGCCAAATGTGTTGGTAAGCGCATAACTCAACAACGCCTGGACCAATTTTGCTAATTCTTTTTTTGTTGTGTTTGTTATGGTCAGGAGAAGGTTCTTATCAATATAATATATCAATAAAAAATATTAGAAAAAGTAGAGGGGAAGATTAGGAAAAAGTGACACTTTGATAGCGAGATAGTTGGACCCGTGCGAAGCGGGGGCGAACCGCTAGTTATCTATATAATTGTGTTCCACTCGACGAGGTCGGAGTAAAGAATCGCTTGATAGAATGACAGTGGAAAATATTAGTACAGTTAAATTGTATGATTATATTTTTTGGCTCTTTATATACAATTAACATTTTGAAGCGTGATGACTTATTGTTACTTTGATTGATTACATTTCACTTCTTCGGGGTTAAACACATGATGGGATGTTACATTATGTATCTCACTTCATAGTATAAAACAAAGTCTCTCTTTCTCTGCCCCTATATCCCTATGTATGCTTAAATCTGTAAAACAACGCAACGGATTTTGATGCGGATTTTTAAATAGATAGAGTGTTATATTTGGTGGGTATAACACAATAATTTACAAATGAAGATATACTTTATAAATTCGGCTAAATTTTTACTTAGGTTTGGCGATTGTCCTTTCCTATTTTTTTATATACACTACCTAAACTGTATAATTCTAGTAGGCTCTTCGTTTTTAATGACTTACTTTTGTAAAGGTTTAATTAATACGAGAGAAAGGGCTCAGATAATAATAATTCAGTTTTAGATCATTATGTTTACTTCTGCGCGGTTTCACTCGCTGGCCAGCTCTATTTGATTGTAGCGTGATGCTCTATAGCCTACAGCACTGGGGAATATTGAGCTATAAATAGGAATTTTTGGAAATCCGACCAATGGTTCTAAAGATAACCCCCTACATACAAACTAACAAATTTTACCTCTTTATAACGTTCAGAAATATATTTAAATATTTAAATAATAAGATAAGATATTATTAGATTAAGATGTGGGCGTATAGTACAAGATACGAGGTAACTTAACTCGCAAGTATAGGATTCATAAGAATATAAATATAGTATATACAGACTATACTGAAATTTCGTTCGTGGAATCGAAATTCTCTTGTTCGTAGTATCATTGAGGTTAGGTGCTGGCTTCTCATGCATTAGGGTACGAGTTCCAATCCTGGAAATACCAATATGACGAATTTTTGCCATTTTAAGCAAGTGTGGTGTTAAATGGTAATTACTTATCAAAGACCTCACTTTCAAAGTGAGATCTTGGAGACTTATAGGCCGATGATGATAATGGTTCTTTTACTTCAAAACACAGGCTACATGGGCCAACTTTCAAAGTTAGTGCTGTGGGTTCGTATTTAAGTGGAAGTCGACCGAAGTATGGAAGTGACATGAATTTATAAGTTCATTTAATTACTTTGCTTATCATGTAAAGGTAGAATAAGGTTTTGATAAAAATAAATACCTAAATAAAAAAAACAGTGCCTTATAAATTCTTAACAGTAAAGATAAATAAAGAATTCAGTTGTGTATAAAAAAATTAATAATAATGTATTGAACATTTTTAACACTAAACTATGATTATTATTAAGTGTGGAAGAGCCAAGCTTCGGAACGAATGGGTCGGCTCGACCGGAGTGATACCACGGCCTCACAAAATACCGATGTAAAACAACCAGAGCGTTCTGTTTCGCCGTGTGAGTGAGGTTACCGGAGACCCAATCCTTCCCCTCCCCCAATCCCTCCCAATCTCTTAATCTCCAAAACCCTAATCCCTAAAAGGTCGGCAACGCACTCGTTACTCCTCCGTTACGGGTGTCCATGGGCGGCGCTGATTACTTACCATCAGGTAATCCGTCTGCTTAAATTAAATTTAAATTTTCCTTCAATTGTATATATCTCATTATATCATCATATCTATGAATTTCGAATGAAATATAGCACATAGCATATCACATCATCATCATCAGCCCATAAGTGCCCACTGCTGAGCAAAGGCCTCTTCTCACACGGAGAAGGTTTGAGCATTAATCACCACACTTGCTCAATGCAGGTTGACAATTTCAAACTTATAATTAGAGATTATAAGTCCAGGTTTCCTCGCGATGTTTACCTTCACCGTATGACAGAGGTGTCTCGATAATCATAAAAAGTACATAATATATAACTCGGAAAAGTCACATTGGTACTTGCCAGGTTTCAAACCCACGCCCTCATGCATGAGAAGCGGGCTCCTTAACCTCCGGGCCACCACGACAACACATAACATATTATGCAAAAATTTGGTCAATCAAAAGAATTAACAGCTTTTTACAGTTTATCAGTAACTGGGTTTTAATCACCCGTGACGGGAGAGTTTAATGATATAATGACAAAAACAATAATTAAAGAAAACCATCCAATCCTAAAATTTAAGTCTATTCTGAAACACATGCATACATTAGTAGATTACTCGACATTAATACGTCTATGATATCTGTATCATTCAGATGGATTTACTAATTCACTTTGTAAATTAATTTAACTGTCTCTTTAGACTATAATACGTACATAGATATATAATTATTATGGTAATTGTGCTCATTATACCAGCAATTGCAGTTAATGATAATAAAATTATACACAACATCAATTAATTTAAATTCAATATGCTTGATGCATTGCATATGCTCACGTAATTAAATTGATGTTATTTATTCTGGAATTGAGTTCATTATTGCTTGACACGTATTATTATTGGTATTAAAAAGAGTTTTATTTTAAGAGCATTGAACTCGTTGCAGAGAAAGATATATGTTTTTCTCATACACTTTTTTTTTGTGAGGGAATAATCATCACATGTGTCCCGCCCGGATTCGGGCTTACTGACTAAAAACCCCCCCTTTCCTACTCCTGAAAGCCTACCATGAAGTGTTATTGCAAGTGTACCTTTTATGCCACCATCCCTCTTTTTCGCCCGAAAAATTCACGCTTTAACACATTACGGTAGGCCCTCTGGTCTGGGCCGAGGCCCCATTGCACTTACTCCGCAACCCCTGCTGAACATCAGCCCTGTCAAATACTTCTGATAAGTTAATAAAATAATATACATAAAAACATTGCAAAACTGCGTAAACAGTGGCAATATCATATCTTAAGTATAGTATTAATTTTATAATCATATCAAAGCTTATATCTCAATTATTTTGCAATGAATTGCTATAAAGCAAACAATTATGCTAAAATGAAATAAATAAAACCACACAACTGTGCATAGTACGCCATAGATATCTATTTGGCTGTCACAAATCTTCAGTGAAGCTTAAACTGTCATAACGAGATACAAGCCCAAAGCCTACATGTGCGTATCTAATCCACTGAAGACGAGATTAGCGTCAGTACCACCCCTTTAAAAATGTACGCTACGATGTCATACCAACTTTTAAATGAACAACAAACAATATTTTTTTCAATATTTTAAGGGCTGATTTTTCAATGGTTAGATAAAAGTTACCTGGAGAATAATTATGATGCTGTCGCGTCAGAATGTTTGTATAAGACAGTGACAGCAACAATTTTATTCCTCAGATAACATTTATCTGACTATTGACAAATCCGCCCTAAATGTAACCAACCCAAATCCATACCGTAGAATAAAAAATAACTGAATAGTAAATCGCACATTCTTCTAACTTAATTCGTTATTCATAAGTACTTAATTAATTAATTAAATATTAATATTAAAATTATCTTAAAGCTGACAAACATACAATTTCACGTGCACATGACACTAAGACCCGGAACAACAATTTTGTGGATCTCACAAAGAGTTGTTCCGTGCGGGTATCGAACCCGCGACACGTTGCACAGCAGCCAGTTGCCCGGCCACCGCACCAACCGTGCAGTAAATTTTTATTTTTATAAGGTTTGAATTTTTTTTTGACTTGGTTTTACGAAACATAACAATATATTTACAGAATGTATTGCGGTGAATATAAACCGAATCGTGGTACCGGCCCTTGTGGAGCTAGGCACAGAGTCAGTTATCCTAGACTGCGACTACAACACAGGCGAGACCCCAGGTCCAGGTCTAGTCATAAAATGGTTCTTCAACGGATCCACCGGCCTCGTCTACCAATGGATACCACCGCTTCAACCTCAAGTTATTGGACTTTTAAAAGGAAAAGTCGATATGAGCTTTAAAATTTCGGGTGAGTTTTCATAAAAAAGAAAAACTTTCAAAAATCTAGTTCTAATTTAACAAACATCAATTTTATTCAATAATATCCCTTAAGAAATTATTGCCCTAGACGTTAATGAATATAAATAAAATAGAGTCAGTTTAGTCGTTATTTTTACACCTAGCAGCACATTTTGTATAGAAATCTACAGAAAGGTATTCATAGTTCAGGTTCAGGTTCAGATATTCATCGAAAGGTCTTCGGAATTATAAAAAAAACTATTTGCTTCTTTCTTGTTACAGATAAACCGTTACAGGCGTACAGAGCTATTAAAATAATAAACCCGGGGACACACCTCAGCGGTAACTACACATGCGTAGTGTCAACATTCATAGCAGAAGACAGTCAGACGCGATCCATGTTAGTGTACAGTAAGTAATTAACATAGTCGATTACATCCAATTTATATATAATTTGCATTAGATAATTGTATCATATCAGTTACATACAGGTGCCAAGCCAACTAGGATTATATTGACTTCATAATAATGTATAAACTTAGGTAGATCTGTATTTAACATGTTACCATTAACATGTTTTGTTATTTTATGACATGGTAGACATAGAATTGTATTTTCAGCCCTTAATAAAATTTACGAATTTTCAAATAAATTAAATGTAGCTAAAAAACTTACAAGTCTAAAATCATTAGTTATATTTCGTAAAGAGAATTAAGTAATTAATTTAGTAAGAGAGAATTCTAAATCGTTTAAGTTACTAAACTATATATAATAAAGGTAAGGACTCATGGTAACAAGTTTAGTATTTTACTAAGTTCAGCAATTAACTGTTGTTGAAGTAAAAACTAGAAGAAATTGAAAAGAACTACTACTGTGTAGTTGAGTTCGTTTTAACGAACAGAGCTGTCAACGTCGAAATTGTGTTCGAGATGTTCCGTTCGGCGCAACAAGAGGATACTAAGTTAATTGACTTTTCAAGTTTCCTAACATAACACACCGCTCATCATTCCCCTGAAGAGTAGGCAGTGGTTTAGCCATAACCACTTTTCATCTCAAAGTTTGAAGTTTGCGTCATAGTTTTAAATTTAAGATTTCCATGAACTGGTAAACTAAATGCTAGCATGCTGTGATGTAATCTGGCAAACCGCATTATAATCACTTTTAAAGGCCTTCAATTTCAGTAAACATTGTTTAAATAAGAATATTTAAAGCTTTCTTTTTGTAAACCGCGACGATTAATAGGATAGGTTTGCAAACTAAAATATAGATCATCCGATAGTAAACATTTGGCTCTACCCGTTGACATAAGTCACTCTAGAGGAATTACAAGTGAAAGGTATTAGGGATTAGGGGACCCCAAATTTGGGGATTGCGAAAGAGGTGAAGGATGATGCCTCTAATACCCTATGTCACGCCGCGAACCATAATGCAATCTTCGTTGCATGCCGGTTTACTGAGTAACTCTCACACATGCGATATAATGACATGATGTGTTTCCTGACACATTTTCATTCCTTCCAATTTTATTAATATCTGTCAACAATACCCAAAATTAAATATTAATTAGCTTTTAAATAAACATTATAATACGGGAAATAATAATTGCAATATTACACTGACCAATACCTGTTATGGTTCTATGAACATTAACCAAAATACGGTTATTAAATCCCACGTGAAAATTAATCAGCCATATTGGTTTATTTTAATAGAATGTAAATAATATTCGACTACGCTGTTTGTACGGCGCGGCGTATATAATTGTATGGCCGATAGGGATTTATAATTAGATAATGTTACTACCCACTAAATTTGGTAATGTTATGCGTGGTCTTGTGAAGCGAATACAACGCTAGGACAATTCCAGGGAAACCGTTAGAGCTTGGATATTATGACTTCATTATTTGGGACTACAAAATACAACTAAATTCTACTTCTCAGAAAGAGGTTGTTTTCCCGGTTCCCTTGTTAATATAATTTGAACCGTTATGTTCTTCATTCTTTTTAATCTATTTAGGTGAAGCTACGATTACCTACTAATTCGAAGTTAGGTAAACGAACTATCAAATCTCGACCATCTACATAGATTTATGAACACACATCCAAAACCTTTTATTTTAGAAACTTCTACTTGTTCAAGCTTTTATTTAATTCCGCCTGTCAAATACATTTTTAGTCAATTTCATCGTGAATAAATCACCATTAAACCGATACCTTTCTGAATATTTATAGTTTTTATTTATATCGAAATATAATTATGGTAATACAATCGATAGTATGTATTGTATGGAATTACTTATATAAATATAAAAGTTTGTTACTTAACAACCTCCTACTTACTTCAGACTAGACTAGAAGTCTTACTTTCTTTGATACAAAAGATGAGTATAGAACACAATTTGAAATAGCTATCAGTTGCCATTAATTCGATGCTACGGCACCTGTGCACCAGCCGAAAGTGCATAATAGTAGTTGCATGAATTTCTAACCGGGTTGTCTGAGTATAACCACGTATGACCCTACGCGTATGCTAATCTAGTTTATCGAGACGCAGTTCCTAGCTATGAACGAATTGGTTCATCCCCGGACAAAGTAATTAAGGTTGGGTTTAGGCTGAATGTGCATAACCTTTGTCTGCCCACTTTGTGGTAAATAGATTCTCAGACAGTCCAGTGGTGCGCGTTGGATATTATTTATTGGGGATTGTGCTTTGGCAGTAGTGTTAACAGATCTGATTTTAAAACAGATTTTTGCGTGTGCCATAATATGAAATTAATAAAGACTGTTTAACGGCTTTTCACGACTAGTTTCAAGCACGCTAAGGGCTCATACTTATGAACAGGATTGCACGATACATGACAATCGCGTAGTCGTCGCGCGATCATCGCGCAGCTACTGACTAAAGAGTAATGTAAATAAAGGTATATCACCAAACACTTACGTAGATAAACCGTTAAAAATAATTAATTAAGCAATTTACATTACGTGGAAATTGCTTTTTACTAGTTTCGAAGTTTTGAATCCGCTTTCCATTTGCAATTGGTATTTATTTACCATCGCTAACTAGGTATTCAAATATGATTTCGAAGAATATTAGCATAATATTAAAGTTTTGTATATACAGTAAATATATATTACATAAATATTTACTAAAATACATATTGAAAAACATATTTGCTAGCTAGGTACTTACTATAGGTTTTAAACCAAATTGTTTTTCGGTATCCTTTCTATTCGATTATAACTGAAAGTTGGTTTCACTCCACAGGTCCGGGAAAGAGTTTTCAATTCGACCAGGAGAAAAAATACGTATTCTTAGTAACATTGAAATGTATGGCGGAGTATTTATACCCTCGGCCTGTGATGACTATTTTATCAAAGGGGTGAGTACTTTGAATGTCTAAGCTTTTTGGTAACATATTATGTTAGAATGGCTACCTCACTGTTCTGTGGCTACTTAATGTTATATTTCCTCGAACAGCCCCATGTACTAACTTAGTTGATACATACCATTATACACAGCTTATGTATATACTTAACAACTACATCCAACTTCTTAGATATAATAGATCCTTCACGTTTCCCAGTACATAACTAATTTTAGCACACTACCCCTATTTGCCGGAAATACTCATCACAGATTCCATCAAAAGAAGGTAAAAGGGATATTCTCGGAATCGTTTTAATATGAGAAATGGGCACGAATCTAATTCACCAATCCCAAGCCTATATAACCAAAAATTAAAAATAAATCTTGTAAAAGGTAGGTAGTAATAAAAAAGTTAATTATCAAGACTAATAAAAGGAAGTGTTTATTCAGAAAGTGTACGCTCCAGAAAATATATATATAAAAATGTACAGACGGGCAGACGGCAATTTTATGGGTAATTCATGAGTTAGATAAGGTCAAGTGATCTTGTTATTCGAATCTTGATGTATTATTGATGATCCTGTCCCACGATTTTGTACGTATTTATGATCTGACCAGATGCAGGCGACGCTGGAACTAATATATTTATTACTTTATATTAAAGACTTATTTAAGTAATAAGTATGGAGTAGGTAGAGTGGTGCATTTTTTTTTCGTGTCGAATCTTGTTTTCGGGGCCTTTTGGGTGTAGATAAAAAAGGAATCTAAGCAAAATTTTTGTAAAAGAAAATATAACCACTTAAAAACTATCTTTTTATTTTTTAATTTTTTTATTAAGTTTTACGAATATTATTTTCCAGCGGTTTTTTTTTCAAAATATTTTCCTTGTTTTTCTCTAACATTTCTAACATCTAACCCTTTGACACTCCATTATTGAACCACAACCAATAGCTTTTATTTGTTATTACTATTCGATACATTGGTATAAAAATACTGTTTCAAATTGAAGTTAACAATTGTACAAAATCGAGCCGGCTTGGGGCCAATTTCCAAGTGACGTGTCTCACCCGGCGCGACGTGCCTTAGTTTTTCTTCGCCAGTTCCCTCAAGACACAGTAAAATTTTATAGCTATAAACTTTCTCGAAGATTAAACTGTTGAATAACAAATACAGAGAATACTAAAGTTCTTACACAAATACAGACTAACGCATTGTTAGGGTAATTCTATGCAAAATATGTATATTTTTGAAGGCCTGCGACTTGCGCCGTGGGTATTTTTACTAACATAAATTAACACGTACACAATACCTCAATAATAATACACACAAAAATGTGTTACTTATTTTAACTGAAATTACCATACATTTACATTTTATCTATATATGTATAATATGTGTATGGTCATTCCAAAGTGGCATTTAATTTGAGCGCATTGTATGATGTTAAAATCAGGGTTTACATTTTAGGAAAATATTATCTCAGTAGTTGTATTTATTAGGAAGCCTTTCTAACGGAAAGTTATTAAAAAAAGAATGTCACTCTCCAATACATATGAAAAACATTAAGTGTAGGTATATGTATAAACGTGATGATTTTGTGACATTATTAAGAGCGTTTATTTGCATAGCTTTTCACACAGATGTTCAGGTCTAAAAACTTCGAAAATACTTTACCAATTTTAATAAAACTTAGTACTCATGCGCTATATATGTAGTTCTGAAAATTGAATTAAACTGATCAATTTTCAAAACATTCTTTGAAGCGTTTTTAATGTTTGTATAGCTCCAAAATAATTGGGTCGTCACGCCATTCTAGATTATTTTTCAAAAATATATTTGAAGTTTCCTATAACATTAACCTCAATATAAATTATGTATGTATGTGTAGTAAAAAATATATATAAAAATGTTATTGTAGTAAACCACTAGAAAGAGCGATCACGGACATGAGGATGGACTCCTGGGGCATGTACACCGTGGAGACCACAGCTCTGGTCCATGACGATGACGTCACCAGTCCTTGGGAGGAGTTCGTCTGCGTATTGAGCTTGCCTTTAGCTAATTACACTAGTAATAGAACTACTGTTTACTATCCAGGTAAGTGTTGTGAACATTACAAAATAAAGATGTCGATAGTCAACTAGCTTAATCGACCTAGCCTGTTTAATAAATGATATCGTAGTGCAATAATTTTCGTAGATGTTCCTTTGTCTAAAAAGATTTCATTTCTGTGTGGTTCGCAAATTACCTCTAACATAACTTACCATTCTGATAACAACTTGGCTTTCATGGCAATCTCTTCACTCTTCAACTTACAGCCTGAATAGGAAATGCAGCCATACAATCAACCGTTTCAGAGCTAGCTAATTGATTGAACGGCTATATTTTTAGAAATTTTCATTTAGATTTTATTTACGCTTTAATATCGCTTATAAATATAAATTTGTGTACTTTTTATGCATTTTTATAATTAAATTTTAAATAAAAAAAATAAATGAATAAATAGAAGCGTTTATCGATGGCATTAAAATTTATTATTTTAACCCTTATTACAAAGGGCTAATAACATAACCAGGAACCTCTGCCTAACCCATTTTACTAGTATAGATGTGTAGTGTGAACGTGATTAGCAGCTACGCGTGTTTTGTACGTGTGATGACACCCAATGTGAAGGGTTCCTTGCCTTTGGGCCTATTACTACCAAATTACATTGGCTTCGATAATATTGTCATTCAACCTAACTCCGTGCTTGTCTGCTCATTTCTAGAAGTGGCTTTATATAGACTTCCGAACGTGAATAAATGTGGGCTTTAATGTACTCAAGCTATGGTATAAAATTGATAAATCACATGTTAATACCACGATGTTAGGTTTGATTGCGAATCAATTAAAAAAAGGAATATTATTACTTACTTTACCCATTTTTATTTCTAAATAAATATTTTTTTAATATCCACAGGTCTTATGCCGACGCATAGCGCAAGCATAGAGGTGAAGAAACCTATGGAACACCAAGCTAGCAGTAAGTTCTCATATATTAAACATAAATAATTTAAAGACAAAATTACACCGACTAAACACTGACTCACCTACACACTCACTTTCATACACACTCTCGCATGTCCAGACTCACACTATGACATATACGTCCAAAATTTTTTCTCACGCAAACAATTCAAAGGTAACGGTCACACTGTCTTTCCGATTTAAATATTTTTATCTTTTTTTTTAGTTTCATTGAATGATTACGTTCGTTGTCTTTTAAATACTTACAAATAATATTAATAAGGGGACGTATTAAAAATATATAGTAAGAAACGTTTTATGGTATTCCCTCTAAAATTGTTACCCAAGATACGGACTCGCCTAGTTTTGGGAAAAATTCTTAAGTTATAAATGATTTCTTTTATTTCAAATTAAATTTTTGAAGTAAGAAATGGAGGCATTTGTCTCTATGAAAAGTCAAATATAAAGAAGGCTCAAGGAAAAATAGTACTTACTTTTGACAACAGTCTTTGGAATGATAAAATTGCATTAAAAACATTTTGTGACTTTTTATATTCGAAGTCCTTTTTCCGTCATATCCAAAGATCTGCTCATGAATTCGGTTATTAAATAATTATCCCGTGTCATAAGTAATTTTAATACTGGAAACAATTGAAAATATAACGCCAACAGCAGATTATCCGCAAACCATGATTCCGACATCAAGCGGCAAAATACAGCGGTAAAAATATCCGACCTGATATTCGGTAACAATACCTCCATTTTAATTAATTAAAAACTTCCCGTCTTAATTACTCTTTATAAATTTATTTTCAGATAGTTCGACGCTCCAGCTCGGGTGCATTTTACTAGTGACTTTATTATTAAGTATTAACTTTACTTCTTAATGAACTAAGTAACGCTGTACATACCTATTTGGTCTAGAATAAAATCTATGTTTTTAAAAGAAAGACTTAGTCTTTTTAGTTCTTTAACTTTGTTTGCTCTTTCGTAAACTTAAGAACATTCAAGACTTCTTTTGCGTGTACCCTTCAGTTTGTAAGTTAATATTTTTTGTATAAAGCTTTTGTATTGTTTAAAATGTTTACAAAATCTGTGATAATTATGTTTAAATGTCGACAAAAGTCATAATGTAATTGTACGAAGTATTTCATTTTCATTATAAATTATACATACATAGGTACTATGTAAGTACATAGAATAATGTTACCGTATTATTTTGACAGTATTATGAAAACAAAATCTTAACTGGTACTGATTGTAGCTTTTTGATATTATACAAATTGTAAATAAACTGCTTAATGTACTTCTTTGTTCTTTTTTTATAACCAAGATTTTTAGTAGTAATTTCGTAGTTTCCTCACGCTTTTGCATTTTTCTATAAGTCAGTAGTTGAAGTTACGTAAGAAAAGTTGTATATAATGGAACCTAAATCAGATTCTGTTTCTTCGGCCCGTCGCCGTCGCTGACCGACAGAAAACACATTTTCTTTTGCGAAAAAATAAGAAAAACTTGGTGTAAACACGTTCTCTTAAGGGAACGTCAGCTCGACGTGGCCTGTAATGTTTGCAAGTAGATATAAAAAGCGAAGAAGGTCATAAAAAGGCTTTTTGTATGTTTATAAGCCCTCTACATCAGGTACATTACATACGTAAATAATCTTTTAACCTATAATTTCCATCTGAGATGTTTCTTTGTGAAAGTATTCTTTGATTTTGTGTGTAAAGATTCGAGGATTTACGATTTTACAGTCATTTGTCGAATACATAAGGTACTCAGGTAAAAGTCTACTCGAATATTGTTCCCAAAGCTTAATGTACATATGTTAAGCATTCGACGTTTGGGGCAAGTAAACAAGAAAATACTCCCGTGAAACGTTGGTTTGACTATTTATATGCTAATTTTTATTTTTTAGCTTTACTTTCAGGTAAATTGTAAATTATTTATGCTACCTACATTATTTAGGTACACGTACGAATGAAATATGTATAGGTCTGTACATTATAAATAGAATATATTGTATCTATTTTAATCGCTGGTCATGGTATCGGGTTGACTGGAATTACAATATTTAAATTAAAATATGCGAAATTCATGTTACTATTTAATATCTACAAATAGAAATATATTAAACATTTTTGCAATAAATAAAATATACCTATCTGTAAGCTGTGATTTAAACTTGTTCATGGCTAGTGGAATTCTGATGATTAAATTCCATGGGCATTTAAAGTATAGCAGGTTGATTAATATTTCAAACAATAACAGAGAAATTGAAAATTGTGTTTGTAATAATAACTTGTAGTAAAATCAAGTATATTGACTTAGCACGCGAGGTTGTCGACATGTGGGAAGTGGATTCAGCTATCATTGTACCGATAGTCGTGTCAGCCAATGGCTTAATAGCTAAGAGCCTCGACCAACACCTTAAGCAGCTCTCATTATGTGGCTGGATCAAGGGCTTGATCCAGAAAGTGGTACTCCTGGACACGGCTCGTATTATCAGGAGGTTTCTTTCTCTGGAGCCCTGACCGCCGGTAGCTTGGACCCTGTTCTCGATACCGGTGGGACACTATTTTTTATATTTTTAAATATTGTTTATTTTTAAATTTAAGAAATGTTTAAAAATATAGTTTATATATATGATAAATAAAGATAATAATAACTTGTAATAAAAATAAGCACTCGTACTATGTAACTTTTACAGGATCCTTCGAGAATTTACTGGCAGAATATTACAACATTTTAGAGCATGCTTGACCATCTTCCCGATAAAGCAATGTGGCACAAAGCTTAAGTATACAAAAAACGTTCCATATTCAAATTCACCTCGTTAATGGTGTAGTTCACCAAGCCCTTTGAAGGAAATGTTAAATATATTATAAACTTCTAACTGTACACAATGTACATTATTTATATAATCTTACGGTAGAAATATGTGTGTGTTAGAATTTCGGGTACATACATATCTTGTTTTTAATTTATTTCATGAAAACTATGACAAAGCCAAATTATTGTGTCGGCTTTATCAATCAACTAGCAAGCCAATCAATTCAAAACCATCAAGTTATTCAGAATAGATCCAACACCGAATGCAACATGGTTTTTCAAAAGATATTTCTGGAACAAACGGTTTGTTTTTTCAGCTGTACACACCAGTTCACATGATGGTACCTTCATACCACTTCATGCATAGATATCGTTTCAAAAAAATAAAAATATACCAAATTAAAATGAAAAATCAATTACATTTCTCTACTCTCACACAAAATGCTTCTTCCTAGTATTTATTAATAATGTATTAAAAAAAGCTATACACCGAATTCTTCCATAGAATTATAGAATGAAAAACATGTTTTTTCACTCGAAAAAGTATTTTCATGAGAACCCATTTGCATAAAATATTGACAATAATTTCATTGACGGGAAAAAAAGGTCTTATGTCCGTAGGCCCACGCGTTTTACTTAGGGCTAATAAATAGGTTGTTCGTGAAACAAAGAAAACTAAAACGATCTCAATAAATAGAACTTAGACACTGTAATATAATCTGCCCCGGGTAATGAAGTTGTCCCCCGGGGGTTAAAATGTCGTATCCGACAAATTTATTGATTGAATCCGACAACTCGCTACGAAATTGGAGTATTAATGAAATCCAATTTGGAAAGTTTTATTTTTAACACCATATTTGTTGATCTCAAACTTAAGACAGATTTCAATTTATAGATTACATTAACAAAAGCTACCACAAACGAATCTGTATGTACGTGTATGTGCGTCAATGGAAACCATAATGCCGGGTTTATATGTACCATGTAAGGAGGTTAAGGAGGTTAACGCGGGGTAGAAATATTACAACAGTGGATAAAGAGAAAAGTGTGCTCCGCTAAGTAGATACTCTCTCGCTGCAGTAATTTGAGAGAATTCCTCGGAGACGACTGTGCGATATGTCTGGCGCAGTGCGTGGAGCTCCTTTAGCATTACCATAACTGTGCCATTGCTATTTCCTCCTGGTCAAATCCCAAGAAAGTACTCCGTGCGACAAGGAAACTAAATGAAATGAGGACTATGCAATTTAGCTTTATAGCAGCTACAATTTATACACTCATGTCTAAATGTTACTTTAAATTCCAGAATTTATTTCTACAAGGGTACTTTGCTATGTAATATCTTGCTCTTCAACGCATGTCTATGGAAGCTGAAGCACAAAGAATTTGTAAAACAAACTACACATCAAGTGATGATTGTCCTCAGCGGCCAGCTTCACTTTATTGCCTTAAAGTATAACTGAGTTGAGTAGTTAGCAAAGCGCAAACAGCACTTCCAGTAATATCTGACTCCGCGGTGTAAGTGCTAAGTTGCCTCTGTATCTCTGGCGATAAGTTCCTAATTGCACTTCACTGTGCGGAAATGGGGTAAAGCGGGCAGCGCCGAGCGAACACGTACCACGCGTACGTGTTCTGAAATGTACTACGCTTTAATGCGTATGACACGCGGCTTGATGTTATGTCGAGCACTTCGATTTTATGTATTTCAATTCGATATGGAGCCCTATCACGACTCGGGACGAATGAAAGAAAAAACTTTTAAGGTGATTTGGGTGACGCGTGGATTACGCGTGCCACTTTATCTGCGTCGGGAAATGTTAAGCTGTCGTTACCCGACGAGTAAACCTCGCCCGCATGCAGACTATCTTATTACTTCAATTTGTATTTATATTTCAAGAAAAGAGTGAGTTAACCCTAAAAGATTTGGTTTTACCACTGCCATTTGAAACGACACTCTCTAAAACTAATTCTGTCGTTGAGGTCTACAAAAATTACCTACGAACTAAGTTATGTTAGTAGCTCGATACACAAAATAAAAGTTGGAAAGTAAACCGAGAGCTTGTGGCTTATCGAGTTTCAAACACTAAAGCAATCTTTTGGTCCCCTTATCCGTGTGTAAATAGTAGAATTAACTTTTAAACAAGTCTAGTGATCTTTTCGCGGCAACACAGATTGCTTTAGGGAGTCGAAGGCAGTACAACTCTTATCTTAATCGTGCTTCCATACACTACTGGCAACTATAAAATGTTATGTAACGGCTCCAGAGGAGTGAAATACAAATTATTTGCTTATAATAAACTTGTAGTTTCTAGCATTGCCTGTGACTACGTTCGCATTCAAATCGGATTTTTAAGGAAATGTAAAAATAGAGGGATCATAAAGTTACTTTATGTGCTACACATGTAAATAAAATGTGATATGTTTATACGAGTATTATGCAGAAACTATAACGTATAGGTGCAGTAAATATGGCGCAGGCGGTCGCGAGCTTAAGGTTCATAAACAACTTGAGACGTACGTGACTTTAATAAGAGCAAATTTATAAAATTAAAACTATATAAAAACATGTCGTTTTACTTGAAACTATGAACACAGTCACAATACGGCTGAATTAATTAAATTTACACACGCCACTGACCTAACTAGGTTTAAAAGGCTTCTTATGAAAATCAAAGCTCGCTCCTGAGGAGTGGAAGAAACATTTTTAATTAATATTACGTACCGACCTGCCTGCACCTTGTGGCATCTTAATACTAATTAAATTCCATTTGTGGACATGTACTCATTACTGAAATTTAATTACTTTGACCGACAGTATTAATATTTGTAAGAATTATTTATAATTCTTGTTGCGCAATATTTTTTATTTTTTGGTAAATTAGGAAATTAATGTTTTTTAGTTACATTTTTTTATATGGTCATTCGGTTTTTTTTTTCATAGTTTATGATTGTATATCCGTGTCTATTTACATACAATTCAATGTAATCTAGTGACAAATAACAGGAACGCATGACAAAAAATATAGAGCATTTAAAATATTGTTTTGTATTTTTTTTTTATCGTAATGTGCATTTGGCAGTTTTCATGCCTGGTGGTGTAAGCGATGGAACACTAACCATAGGAAACCTATTCACTCAGGCCTTGAAGATACCCAGGCCTTGAAGATACCCAGGTCTTGAAGATACCCAGGTTAACACAGATTCCTTCAGGGAAAACACAGACCAGCAGTGAATTCTACTACTTAAGGGTTCTGATTACATAACTGGAGGCGGCGGTTCATGCGTGCGGGTGGTACGATGGTGGAAAGGACTAGGTTTGATACTCAAACACTTAGAGAAGGTTTAAAAACAAACTCACGTGTATTTAAATTGTTACCTTATTATGTAAAGCAGACTAATTGGAACTAGCTCTCATCGGATTACAGTTTCGTCCAAACATACTGGCATAATTGATTGGTTCATTCATAATTCCTATTCCTATGAGAATTATATTTATTGATTGGTCGATAATGCTGTGATTTTTTCTAATAATAGCTAAATATACTGCGATATATCAAGTTTGTGTGACTGCATGATTGGCGCTGGCTGCCGCGCAACGTATCTCGGGTTCGATTATCGCTCGGAACAACTCTTTGTCCACATATTGTTGTTCCAGGTCTGGGTGTGATGTGTGTGTAAAATTGTATGATTGTAAACGCACCCACGATACAGGAGAAAATCCTAGTGTGGGGCGATGCTTGAAAAAATGTTAAGTTCAAACCTGTATTTTCTATTCCGTGGTTCAAACAGAGAAGCAGAAAACATTACCTACGTATTGAAATGTCTCAGACCTATTGCAATAAATATAACGACTCCATAACAGATCACTCTGGTATTCACGACTACGTTGCTGGACCGTGAGTTGAAATTAAAGCTTCTCATTTGATTAATAGACCACTTTTTTTGAAGGTGATAAATTCATTTAAAGACTTTCCTGCCCTGGATGGATCGAGAGAGAGTGTCAGACTCTTACTGACTGAAAACCACCCCGTTAGTTTCTCTGCTCCGAGCCGAGGTCGCGGTAAATTATTATGCTTGCATCCGCAACCCTGGCTGACCCTCGCCTCGGCATT